TTTGTTCAATAAAGAGAGTTTCTATTTTTGAACACACGTGTCCTTTATTTTGTACATCAGGAAGGGGGGCTAGGGAGGGGTAAGTGGAAGGAGGTGAGGGAGGAATGGGGTACGAGCCCCCAATGAGGAGGACTGGGGTGACTCTGCGGGCTCCTCGGGGTGGAAACTCTCTTGCAGCCCCCCGATTGACCCCCCGGATGGCAGCCTGCTGCAAGTGCAGCCGGGCTGATGGCCGAGTGCTGTGATGTGCCAAGTGTGGGCACTCAGGGCACTCCAAGCCAGGACTGCTTTGTAAGCGGGGAACCCTGAGAACTGTCTGTCAGGGGTGGGGGTCGGGTCCCTGTAAGCACAGCCCTCGGCTAGCCTGCGACAGCAGCTCCACGCTCTAAGTCCTAATCTGATGCCCTGCCAGCACTGCTTCCGGCCATCCTTAACCTTGGTTCAGGGTCCACTCAGTGTGGACATGCTAGTTCGAATTAGCAAAATGCTAATTCGAACTACCGTATTTTCCGGCGTATAAGGCGACTGGGCGTATAAGACGACCCCCTAATTTTCCAGTTAAAACATAGGTTTTGGCCTATAGTCGCCGTATAAGACTACCCCCCCTTCCGAGGCAACAACATTTAATAACACCAGCCCACTAGATGTGCCCTAATACAGTACTGTAGCTTCGGCTACATACAGAACGTCCCTGTGCTGATACTGTATGTACTGCGCTGAGCCAATCCCGGCAAGCGGTGTATTCTATTAATGCATACAAAGCCTGCTCGGATTGGCAAAGGTTGTAATAGCCCACCTCTCTGACTCAGCCAATCCGAGCAGGCTTTGTATGCATTAATAAATGACAGCCCTCGGCTAGCCTGAGACAGCATCTCCACGCTCTAAGTCCTAATCTGATGCCCTGTCGGCACTGCTTCCAGCCATCCTTAACCTTGGTTCAGGGTCCAGTCAGTGTGGACATGCTAGTTTGAATTAGCAAAATGCTAATTCGAACTAGTTTTTTGGTCTAGATGCGCTAGTTCGAATTATCTTAGTTCGAATTAACTAATTCGAATTAAGTTAGTTCGAATTAGTGCTGTAGTGTAGACATTCCCTCAGAGCTTCAACACCAGTAGCCCTCCTACAAGCATAAAAGTCACATCCTGGCTTCTCCCAGCCTGTCCTTTGCAGGGTGACATTAGCCCTTCTAGTCCACATCTGCTCAAATCCATCTATCCTGAGTTCTTAGTTAGCAGCCACTCAGACTCTTCCCCACTGCTTTGTCACCTCCAAAGGAACAAAACCAGTTCCCTGGTTACCAGTTCACTTTGGGACACACACATGCTCCATGCAGTTTGCTCTACATCAGGGCTACTCAACTTTGGAACACCATCATACACACAGCACATGCCGAGGGCTGCAACTTAAGTGTGGTTGCATGTACATGCAAATATATATGCAAATAGATGCAGATAGGTTCTTTCACACTGACGGGCATGAATGCAAAGATTAAGGCAAGACTACACAACACACAGGCCCCATTTAAGTCAGTTCTGCGGATATTAATAAAATGCAATGTTTACCTGATTTCCACCCACATGACTGCACTTTTAATGAGCAATGACAGTCCAGGAATGTAACAACTAAAACACATATCAACAGAGGACCATTATATTGACTCGCCGGTGTGGAACGTGATCCCAGTGGAGGCCATTTTCAAAGGATTCCACCTGCGGGGTGTGTGTTAAGCCTTGTGTAAACCCAAACCGCACCGTGGGCCGCAAACAAACGAGCTGTGGGCCGCAATCACTGCAAACAAACAGGCCATGGGCTGCGTGTTCAGTAGCCCTGCTCTACAGAGACCCACTGGAGGTAAAAATAGACAAAAGGATGATTTAATAGAAACAGCACACACTCAATGATGAAATAGTAAGGGGAAAGGAACATATACTAGTTACACAAAAAATAAGCACAGTCACAACTTCAGGTTTGTGTTTCTATATTAGCTAAATTCCCTTTTTTAATATAAGTTACGTATTGCTTTTCCCGGCATTGTAGAGGGGGAACCAGCATTCCATGGATAGCACCCTGCCTAGCTTGACTCAGTTTCCAGATAGCTTTCTCTTCAAACCCCTTTTCTTTGAACAGGGTTTGAGGTAAGAGAGTTCTTGCTGCTCCAAAGTGATGTCTCCTCTCAGACTCTGGTGATTCATGATGGTAAAAAAAACCTCTCTTTCCTTAGCTTTCCGAGACTGGGGTTTTCTTTTCCATGTCAAGTTCTTCCGGTGTTTCCCCCATTAAATTGAATGGCCTTGTCACTTGCCTTTCCTGTGTGGGACAATGCTAGGTGTTTAGAGCTAATCTCATCTGGTTGAGAGACTGCTCCTCCCTACCTGACCCATTACCTCACTACTGTGAGATTTGGAGCTGAATGCTGCGGCCAAATTATGAGCAGAGTGTTATATCTACACTGATACGCAAATTCATAACCACGGTCTGTATACATATCTCATAATGGCCATCGAGTTCAGAACATCCCAAGCTTTCACAAAAGACCTTATAACTCAATAACATTGTTTACGACCTGTTCGAAAAACCTGAAATGTGTCCTGGGCTGAACTCCGATGATGTTTTTAAAGGTACATTGATACAATTCTGCAGCTAGAAGACGTGATGCTAGATGCCACTGGAAAATAGCTGTCCCATGAAGCCTACTGCTCTGAAAGAAGCAAGGCTTAAAATCACATTAGATGTTTGTTTAAGGACTAATGCATTTAGCAATTGTAAAACCTAACTGTAATGTCTTGTTGTTTGTCCACTAAATCACATTAAGCTCTAGCAGTGGGATGTACTTTCCACTTTTCCCTGCTGTTTCTGCTTCATAAGGTTGGGTTTCTCACACATCTTTGCCCTCAAGCTTTATACAGTTTGCATTTTAGGCCTTGGATTTGTCTGGATCTGATCCAGGGGACCTGAAAGATGCCTTTGAAAGATTTGCCCCACCACTGGCTACTCAGGAGCAAAGAAGACAGCATAGCGTAAACAGGGGGTGTGCCCAGGCACATCCTAATATCTCAAAAAAAAAGTGGCTTTGCATTTTAATTTACTCACATGATATGCTCTTTTAGTTTTAAATTATGGATTGTTGTATTATGCAACAAGCGCTGAATGTAGAACTGTATAGAAAGTCCACGTTCGCTCACAGCATGTCCTTTATGATTGAATGTTCAATAAAAAAATTCCCTGGGTGCACACCCGAATGAAATGTGCTGCACATGCCTATGGAAGGCAAGGTGTGAATCTGGCTACATCAGGAAAGGAGAACGTATTTCTCTTGTTAAAATGAGAGGCATAATGGAATAATCAAAATTCACAAGCATGAAAAATTGTTTCAACAATCTTCCTGTGCATTACTATTTATTATTTGTATCAAGGTAGGATCCCAAAGTCCCTAATTAGGGATTGGAGCTCTCGCCCGCTAGGTGCTGCCCTCAAATAGCTCTCAGTTTCCAGTTTATGTTGTAGTCTCTTGAACTGCACTGTCATTGGAGGGGAAAAGATCATTGTTAGCCCTTTTGTGTAAGTTGATCCTTGACAGTATAAACCAGAGGTGGGCAAATACCAGCCCGCAAGCTAGATCCAGTCCCCCACTGCTCATATTTACCTCCATGGGCACAGGTACCGGTGATCCCAGCTCCTATTGGCTGCAGATCGCCATTCCCAGCCAGTGGGAGCAGCGGGAAGTTACGCAGAACAGTTCACCATGTCCTGCAACTCTCATTGACTGCAAATGACAATCCGCAGCCGATAAGATTTGCAATGGTCCAGTACCTGTGGAAGCTAAATATAGTGATAGGAGCCCGCCAGGGACTAGCCCATGGCCTAGATTTGGCCTGAAGGGCCAGAATTTGCCTACCCCTGATGTAATCCCTATGTAGATCTTGTTCTACCAGATTTACTCCCCTCGGGGAGTATCTTACTATCATGTACAAATACAAATATTACATGTACAAATACTATCATGGATTTCAGTGGGACTACACAAGATCTAAGATCAGTCAAGGTGAACAATGGGCGGGTAAGTCAGCCCCATAGTGAACTAAAGCTGCAGTTTTAACTCATTACATAGAAATCCTAAAAGCAACTTTATTGTTTAATTCATTGGCTCTGATTACATACAAAGATTATAACTTTATGTATTCTTGCATTGGTGTCAGCAGTACAAGTGTGCAAAGTATGGCAATAAATGTTATACAACACGCACAGTAAAACTGCCTCTCTTCCAACTTACTCTCTGTGTCTTCAAGAGGAATAACATTATAGGATTCTGTATCGGAGTATGTTCTTCTGCGTTGCTGGGATAATCGATGGAGTAAAGAAATCGGTTCTTTTGTGGCATGAGTACTACAAATTAAATAGGATTTAATAGTTTAACAAATTTAAAACAAACATCTTGCCAGTCTATGAGCTTTTAATTTAAGATATACCTTTCTAGTATCTTTTTGATATATCTTATAGTTCTCTGATTAGACCTGTTTTAAAGATAGTACAGAGCAGTACTGAAGAATAAGCTAAAAGGAACTCCATGAGAACAGAACACTGTTAGCATGCAAAGATGTTAAAATCTGAAAAAAATGTGAATTTTAAAGCAAATCATCTGCATAGAAACTTCAGCTGATATTTCACTAGTGGGGGACTTCCTGGATTTGCCAGTGAGGTGTTTTCAGAAAGTGAATAAACCTACTTAACAGCAATTTGTATTCTTACCTCTCTGAACTGTACGTACCAGGATGGCTAATGGAGCGTTTCATCTACAAAATAAAGAAACAAGTTTTAAACTCTTTATTGAAACTTACAAAATGCTTATACACAGCCACATACTCTATTTATACTGCTCAGAGGGAGAAGATGATTTATTAAATTATTATTTAAAACAAAAATCAATCACAATTAACTAATCTTATTTATTTATTTGAAAGGGAAAGATTGCCAGTAAGAAACGAATTTTCCAAGCATCAATAAAAGAGAACCAGTTTACTATCCAAAAATATTACCTGGGATCTATACATTTCATTCTCGCTTGCCTCAAAATTACCCAAATTTCTACTGGGTAATTGGTCAAATCCACCCAAACCTCAAAACATTTTTAATTAACGCTAGCAATACAAAAGAATTAATCCAAGAGCAAAATTTCGCCCTTTTGTATGTAGACAAGGAGACCTCTGATTTCAGTGGGAACTCTCTAAGTGTGCCCAAGAGAATAATTTGACTCAAAGATTGATCAATACAAGTGGCTGTGTGAATGGGAAAAAGATTATCAGATACAAATAAGTAAAGGGAAAGACAGGAGAAAAGTAGCTCTCAAAAATCCATATATATGAAGTAAATTTGACAGGGCCTCATTTATCCCAACCCCTCAAAAGGAGCACAAGCAAAAATTAAGTGTGCAATAAAGTATATGAAGTATAACAAAAACAAACTTATCTGCTAAAAGCATATTTGAGAAACCAGGACATGGTTTTAAAAGGGACATATTAGCACTGGAAATCTCAAATCACTTTATCTGGCTGAACGTTAAGTCACAGAGAAAGCATCTGTTTTGATGAACAACCAGATTACAAAGGCCAATTCATATTTTTTAAATAACTCTGCAATATAGGTAACAGGATAATTACATTTTCATATGAACACTGCAAAGTACTGAGTGTTACACCAGTACTGGGGTAGGATTAGCAATGTCATCGTCCACAGGAGAATTACTCCTACGATGAATAGTTTATGAGAAGGCTGGAAAGCAAAAATGCTAGGGAATATTATCAGTAATGATTCACATTTAAACTTAAAAATGTCGACTTTCAGAAGAGTCAGGATGATACATACACATTATATTCTCCCAATCAGTAGCATAACACTTTAAAATATTACTGTTATAAAACACCCAGACCATTTGAACAGGTGAAGGTGACACAGGAGAAAATAAGGGATCAGGATGAGGCAGCTGAAACATCTCTGGTTTAAACTTGGCATTCGCTATCTTCACACATTCTTCAAGTGTTGTAATAAACGTGTTACATGTGGCACTGAGCAACGAGGAGGCTTCGTTCATGTTCTGAAAACAAACGACAGCAAAAATGTAAGCCGACACAGAGAATGTTACTTTAGAATCAGCTAATTTCCCAGTTAACTAGCTAAAATCCACAAAAAATACAAGTTTGGCAACTATACCTTTTACTCATACCTAGAATCAACTTTACTAAAAAATTAACACACACATATGATAGCAGAGGACTATTTTTGGAGGTCTGGGCAATACAGAAAAACACTACGTTTTTCCTGGTTCCTAATAACAAGAGCGTGAATAAGATTCCTTCGGCTGGAGTCATCAGTTTATTTTCTATTTAGTAAAGTAAGTGTTTTACAGTGTGACCCACCCATTAGATTTCCCAGTGAACCTTTCCGTAAGAGGGCACAATCCTACACTCATCAGTGAAGTGGCACACTTATTCCAGGGCTCAATTTGGTCATGAGGTAGGATTAGAAGAGCAAGCAGATGTCCTGTGGATGCTCAGATGCAAGGGGCACTTGCAGCAGTTTTCAAGACTTTGGATTCTAGTTTGCAAAAGTAAGAGAAGTTCTAGCAATAGCAAAGATCACTTACAGAGAAAGTAAAGAATAAAGAAACAGGATGTTTCAGTTATTATCTATTGTTGAGTTCTTAGACAAGGAGAATTCATGTGCAATCCAGCCCACTTTGCTTCTTTTAACTGAATGACTCAGCAATATATCTGTTTGTTAATATGTACTCTGATGACATTCTATATTGTATTTACACAAGATCTTTTACTGCTGGACTGTACTACCGTACCTCTGAATGTAGCATATGGGCATCAGAATATAGACTATTTTAAAATATTAAACTGACCTTACATCAATATCTTCCAACATTAAGTTGCTGATAAGGTGTATAAAGTGATAATAAGAACTTAAGATGATTTAACTAATCAGATTCTTCAGTATAATTTTAGAAATCTGATACCTCAATGCTGGGAGATGAGCGAGTCTCATCACGGTGAACAAATTCTTGTATTGTATGAACTTGCTGCATTAAAAGATCACAGTAGAGTCGAAGTTCGGACATTTTGGTTTTAAGAGATTCATTGGTTTCACTTATTTCTACAAGAAAAATAAGAAATAAAAAAATAATAATAACCTCTCCCACTAATCAGGGCATAAAACTTAATCTGCACAATTTTTACAAACAATTTTTTTTCCATCTACGAGATACACAGATTGAAATTCCTTTCAAAACTAAAAAGGAATTTTTAAATGACACAGGAATAGTTTCACAAAGAACAAGTAAATTAGGACGGGAGCATGGAGAAAAGTATATAACCAGCAAAGAAAAGAAACAACTATTTCTTATTTACCGTGCCATCTCAGGAAACACACAATGGACAAAATCTGTGACCTAAAGAGGTCTGTTTGTCTAAATTCACAAGCATCTGAGCAGAGCAGTTGCTCACTCATGGAAACTTGCTAGTGATTAACTTGTCAGATTGGCTACAAAGAATTAGAGATCTTTACCCTCGTTCCACCAAGAAAAGCTAGGGAAGCAAAAATGGGGATTATGAAGAAAAATCAGAACAATGGGAACCAAATGATTCTCAAACAGCTACTGACAGCTTTTTGAAGGTGGCAACACCATAAAGCAGCATGTGATTGATTTCTATATTGTTTACAAGAATACTGTCCATGCACAGATGGTTCACCATTGTCCTGGACATGTCTGAGACTTGAAATGCCATTACTACAATTTATGTAAGCAGATACTATTGCCCAGGATTATGGTTTGACTTTTCAAAGGGGCCTAAGGAAAGAAGCCCAGTGACTTCAGTTCAGAATCCTAGCCAACATGTCAGCAGGACTCTTGACATAGATAATTGGTGATAAAGGGGCAGATCCTCACCTGGCGCAAAAAACTAACAATTTCTTTGAAATAAATGGAGTTAACACTGAGTTACACCAACTGTGGATCTGACCCTTCATTTTTAATAGCAACATTTCTATGATTCTGGTAGAAACAATATCTGAAACAAGACAAATCTGAGCACAACATAGAAACCCAAAATTTAAAAAAAAAAAGTATGACAACCAGCAGTGGCATAAAACACAGGAGGAGCAGTGAAGTCAAAAGCAAATTGCACATAAGCAATATAAGAAGTAATTTGACCTACTTGCTACCATATATTTACAATATTTTAACTTTTTTTTCCTTGTTCAGTTATGACTTTGCTTAACCACTCAGACATCCCCCAGTTAGAAGTTGCCACAGTACTGCAGAGATGCTCTCTGCACTACTTAGACTGGTAAAATTAATAATTCTGAGAAGCAATGCCAGCTGTGGGTTTTTTAAGCTTATCTACTTCACTATGCTTAATGATGCCCTTCAATCAAAGTATTATATTTTATTAAAATGAGCTCATATTTATACATAACACATATACATGCACATGTAAAGGGAATTGGACTACCCTGGAAAATACAGTAATTATAATTCTTCCTCTCTGCTAACTTTAGCAAAGGCTGATCTGTTCATTTCCTGTTCCCTTTGGAAATTCCAATTTAAAAATAAACCAAAAGTTATTATATGTATACAACAGCGGTTACATCCATAATTAAGACTTATACCTTACATAAATAAAATTAAGTTCAACCACTAGAATGGGACAAATTAAGAGCCACCTTCTTAAAAACCAATTTTATTAGATTTCATACACTCTAAGGGTATAAATACCTTTTTCTTTTTTTGTTCTGGTGTCTGTCAAACAGGCTTTAGAACTACCCAGCGCTACTAGCCATCTCTGCCTCTCAGCCGCATTGACTGCTTTCATATAGAAGTGCTGTTCCCCTGGGATTATCAACTCCATTCTTGTGTTATCTGTTGAATGAACTTAGGATAAAGGAGGAAAAAAAGACTAATTTTGCAAACAATAATTAAACCAGTAAGAGTACTACTTATCAAACACAGATCATATTATCTCAAGCTATTTAAGATTGCATCTTAAGAAATGGAAACTACGGCACACAGTTCTTAACATTGTATGAATTTGATATTCACAAACATAACTGACTATTGCCCAACCCAGCGCTAGCTATTGCTTAGTTTTTGATGGGGAGGGGCTACTTTTCTGTGGAGGAGATGCGGGGTCTAGGATGGCGGTTGGGTGCAGAAGAGGGCACCGGGTAAGAGACTGGGGAGGAGACAACACTGTGAGTTCTGAGAGGATGTCGGGAGAAGGAGGGGGTTGTGAGCTGAGTCAGGGGATGGGGGGGTTAGAATTAGGGAGGGAATGTAGATGCAGGAAAGGATTCTGGTCTGGGGGAGGGGATCTAGGAGGAGGTGCAAACTCTGGGAGGGAACTGTGACAAGGGGAAAAGGGGGTGCAGACTGCAAAGGCTTTGGGTGGTGACCTGGGGCAGGGGAATGGGGTACAAGGTTTTAGAGGGTGTTTGGGTGCAAGAGAGGATTCTAGCCTGGGGGAGGGATTTAATAAGGGGTACAGAGTCTGG